AGCCGCCATCGAACTCGTCAGCCACTATCAAGCCGCCATCGAACTAGTTGGCTCCTCAAATCAATTGCCCTCGTCGTCGATTCAGGCCGCCATTGAACTCGTCTGCCGCCATTGAACTCGTCGCTCAAATTGTCCTCAGGATCTAGTTTTTTTAGATCTTTCATCTCTTCAGGCCCATTTTCAGCAGGCCCATCTTTTATCTAAACAAAAAAAAATTTAACAGATTCTATATACAAAAAAAAGGCCTATGAACAAGAAAGGACTCTAAACCTTTCCACTCCTTGATGTGCAACTTACAAATATCAAAAATTACACTGTGTGGTCTCTCACTATGTAGTATAATCTTTGAGCTTTCGCACTATGGGGTTATATTGACAGATCTCTTCGTTGTCCATCCAAAACTGTTACTATGCCTTCGTTATCTACATCCTCCATATCAGAAGTCACTTCTAGTGATTCTACTACTAATGACTCTTAAATCACTTATTCTCAGTGGATTCGTACTGATCAACAGATCATGACATATATCATGTGTTCTGTAGCTATTCCTATTCGGCTCTCCCTTGGACGAGCATCTTCATCTCGTGAGTAGTGGCTAGCTCTTAGCCGCATGTTTGTTCAGACTGGTGTTGCTCATGAGTATCAACTTCACCAAGCTCTTCAGGATGCATGTCAGGGTGATCGGTCTATTCAAGAATTCTATTACTTATTATCAGGCTACTAGGAGGAATTGCAGATGATGGAGGAACCTATTCCTGAGACGCTTCCAGACTTTGCCATAGCATTTCAGAAACAACGTGACCATCAACAGTTATATCACTTTGTCATGCACCTTCACTCTAAGTTCGAAAGCTTACGTGAACACATTCTTCATCGCAGTCCTCTCCCTAGTCTCCATGAAGTCGTGGCTGAGTTCATATCTAAAGAGATGCACCTTTGGATGCTCTCCCCTCTAGTTATTGCGCCTCAGCCATTACCCTCATCACATACTATTCTAGCTACTCCTAAACAATTCTCTTCCTATCAGGGTCCATCTAATAGCACATCTGATTCCTCTCAGCAACTCTACTGTCATTATTGTAAGAAGCCGAGTCATCTTATTGATAAATATCATAAGAGACCACCTCGTCCGACACCTGAGAAGACTCGATCTCCATTTGCTGCTTCTGCTGATGTTAGCCCTGCTCCTCAAGCGCCGCAAACTTCTATCCCTCTCTCTTCTGAGTAGTTGTCAGAGATTACTACATTAATAACCAAGAATCTTGGGCTAAATGGAATTACCTCCAGCTCAGATTTTACTGCCTTGTCTGCTCATTCTGGTACTTCTACTCCTTGGATATTCGACTCAGGTGCATCTCTACTGCCTTGTCTGCTCATTCTGGTACTTCTACTCCTTGGATATTCGACTCAGGTGCATCTCATCATATGACCTTTGATAACTCTTCATTCTGGTACTTCTACTCCTTGGATATTCGACTCAGGTGCATCTCATCATATGACCTTTGATAACTCTATTCTTATAAATTATTCACTGACTTCCTCTTCATTATGCATTTATACTGCTAATGACACTCCCCTTGCAGTCTCTTAGTTAGGTGATATTACTCCAAATTTTAATAGTTCTGGTCGTCTAACATTATCATTTGTTCTTTATATTCCCAAATTAACTATGTAACTTTTATCCATTGAGAAAATTTCCTATTTTGGTTGCAATATCTTATTTAATACTAAATCTTCTGTTGTCCAGGATCACACTGGTAGAAGATTGGGACATGATGTAGAGTTAATGGACTTTATCAGTTGGAGTCTCTACATCTTTCCACTCCATCCCATATTGGTCATGGGCTCTTTATTTCTGATCTGTGACATCGTCGCTTGGGTCATATCTCTGGTTCTCACTTAAAACTTTTATCTGAATCAGGTGTATTAGAAAATTTAAAATTCTCTACATTATCAAACGGTACTGGATGTCGATTAGCTAAACAAATTGCCCTACCATTTTCATCCAGTAACAAAATTATTTTAGCCCCATTTGATTTGATTCATTCTGATATCCTGGGACCTTCCCTATTACCATTATTGTCGGGTTATCAATATTATGTCAGTTTTATTGATGACTATTCCCGCTATACCTGGGTATATCTCATGCATGCTCGTTCTGATATTTTAAATATTTATAAAGACTTTACAAATATCATTTATACCCAATTCCTTAAACATATAAAGATATTTCGCTCTGATGGTGCCTGTGAATATATCTCTTCGGCAATACAATCTATTTTACAATCACATGGCACTCTTTCTCAGCAATCTTATCCACACACTCATGAACAAAATGGTGTTGCTGAGAGAAAACATCGTCACATTCTCGACACCACTAGATCTCTTCTGATATCAACATCTGTACCTCGATATCTCTGGGTAAAAGTACTTCTGACTGCTGTTTATCTTATCAATATTACTCCATTTTCTGTATTAGCTGACACCTCTCCATATTTTCAACTTTTCAATTCTCAGTTTCGCTATTCTCTTCTACGCACGTTTGGATGTGCTTGTTTTGTCCTATTTCCAACTCATGAATGAGATAAACTATCTCCACGAAACTGTACAATGTATCTTTCTTGGCTATAGCACCGTTCACAAGGGGTATCGTTGTTATAAACCTACCACTCGAAGGCTTCGTATTGCCCGTCATGTGACCTTCTTTGAAAATACTTCCTATTATACTACCTCAGATTCAGATTTCTCCTTTCTTCAACCCCCTTCATTACCTTCCACTATTAAACCTGTATCAGTGGCACCTGTACCTTCGTCTGCTCAACTGACTCCCTCCTTCACTCTAATGGAATCAAACAATAGTGCTCTTGATTTTTCCACACCTCCTGGACATCCGCCTGCTACATCCCCTTTACTTCAATATACTCCTATTGATTTCCCCTCTATATCTGTGTCAGCTTCTCCCGATATGACTCCTCCTCCTCACTGTAATCCTCCACGAGATCGTCACCCCCTGCTCAATATGCTCAATGTGTCACTAGCACATATTCTCCTGAGTTTGTCTCTTTTTTTTTGCTGTTATTCACTCTATACATGAACCTAACTCATATTCTAAGGTAGTTAAGTATCCAGAATGGCAACAAGCAATGACAAAAGAGTTGGAGGCTTTTCGTCGGACTAATACTTGGGATCTTATTCCTTTGCCTTCCGGTGTTAAACTGGTAAGCTACAAATAGATTTATAAGGTCAAGACTCGATTTGACTGTTCTATTGAGCGATATAAAGCTCGTCTTAGAGCTCAGGGATTCTCACAAGAGTATGATATTGACTATGAAGAGACTTTTGCTCCTGTTATAAAAATGACATTTATTCACACTCTCATTGTTGTTGCAGCTGCAAAACATTGGCCTCTGTATCAAATGGATGTTAAAAATACTTTTCTTAATGATGATCTGTTTGAGACAGTGTACATGCCGCCACCTCCTTGCTTTTCTGCTCCTCTAGGACATGCCTGTCGCCTTCGTCGTGCTATATATGGTCTCAAACAGGCTCCTCATGCTTGGTTTGATTGTTTTCGACAATCCCTTCTTTCTATTGGTTTCATTGAAAGCTTAGCTGAATACGCTCTATTTTATCGGTTCTCGGCCTCTAGTACAGTCATTCTATTACTTTATGTTGATGACATGATAATCACTGAGAGTGATTCCTCTGTCATTACTTCCTTAAAGCAATATCTTCAGAGACAATTTGAGATGAAGGATCTTGGATTCCTTTGTTACTTCTTGGGTATTGAGGTTGCTTCCTCCTCTCGTGGCTATCTTCTCTCTCAGCAGAAGTACATTATAAACATTCTTGAGCGTGCTACTCTCAGTGATCCTTCTATTGCTACCACTCCTCTCTCCACACCGATGGTAATGAACTTGAAGGTTTGACATGATGATGGTGATCCCTTATCTCAACCTACTCGATATCGGGAACTTGTCGGAGTATTGGTTCATCTTTCAGTGACACGTCCGGATATCACCTATGCAGTACACATCTTGAGCCAGTTTGTCAGTAGTCTAACTTTCAATCACTATGCAGCTCTCATTAGGGTTCTTCGATATCTTCGTGGCACTATAACCCAATCATTATTTTTCCCCTCAGACTCTTCTTTGTCTCTTTGTGCATATTCTGATGCTGGATGGGCTGATGATGTAGACACTCGACATTCCACTACTGGCTTTTGTATTTTTCTAGGTTCATCTCTCCTCTCTTGGCGTTGTAAGCGTTAAGCCGTTGTCTCTCGTTCTAGTACGGAGTCCGAGTACAGGGCATTGGCAGACACCACAATTGAGCCGAAATGGCTCCACACTCTTCTGCGAGATCTTGATGTCTTTGTTACTTCCCCTATCACTTTATACTGTGATAATCAGAGTGCCATCTCCATTTCTACAAATTCGGTATTTCATGAGCATGCCAAACATATTGAGGTGGATTGTCATGTGATTCGACAAGAGCATGTTGCTGGAAACATTACACTCTCATATGTTCCCTCTAAGGAACAAGTGACAGATTTATTTACCAAGGCTCAAACTCTTTCTGCGTTTCGCTATTTCTTGTCCAAATTAACTCTCGGTGTTCGATCCACCATGAGTTTGAAGGGGTGTCAGAAAATATCATACCAGCCACCCTATAGCCGCCTCAGCCGCCTCCTAACGTGTAGCCGCCGCCTCCTAGTGTTTGTTGTGTATATATATCCTGTAGTTCTCTTCATCTTGTGTGTAGTTCTCTTCAATACCAATTTAACAATACTATTACCATGATTGTAACAGGTTTGCATACCTGAAGCACTGAGAATAACCAACATACAAAAGGGTATAATCTTGATTAAAGTGGTTTTTATTATACAAGTATAACAACACTGTTACACTAACTTCATTTACACTAGAGAAGAATTCAAGTATTTTTCACGCCACTCGGCGTCCTACAAAACGCAGCCGACGGTACATCCTTTCTCATCAATTCCAATATCTCGCCCATCGCCGGCCGAAGGCTCGGATTCTCTCCAATACATCTCCCTGCAATCCTGGCCATGATCACAGCCTCATCTCTATCATACTCTCCTCCAAGCCTCGCATCCACGATCTCTTCCGCAGCCATCTCCTTCAATCGCGGCCTCATCACCGCCGTCAGCATTCTCGACTTCTCATCACAAAACGCCTCCATCCCGCTAATCAGCTCCAAAATCAGCACTCCGAAGCTGTACACGTCGCTCTTCTTCGAGACCAACCCAGTCCTCAAATAACACGGGTCCACATAACCCGGCGACCCCATCATTGGGTTCGCCGATCGCTCGACCGTGGCAGAGAATCCCATTCTGGCAAACCCAAAGTCACAAAGTTTTGGGCTCTTGTCATCATCAAGAAGCACGTTCGACGCTTTGATATCGCCGTGGATAATCGGAAGCTCGCACTCTTCGTGCAGATAATTTAATGCGGTCGCCAGTCGATACGCAATGGACATGCGTTGGGACCAAGAAAGCATGAACTTAGTACGGCGATGGAGCGATTCATGCAGCGTTCCGTTGGGAACATGCTCGAATACAAGCACTCCTGATTCGCCACCGCAGTTGTCGCTGTAGCCGAGAAGTCGGACGATGTTTGGGTGCGGCCGAATGCTTAAGAGGACGTCGAGTTCTTGACGGAACATTTTGTAGAGGCGTTGGCTGGGTTCGTGGACCTTGAAGGCCGCAGCCCGAGGATTGGCGAGGTTCGCAAGGTAGACGGTGCTGAAGCCTCCTTGGCCTATAATAGAAGAAGTTTTGGTGTTGAAAATGAGATTTTTGATTTCGGACGGATCGAACTGCTGGATTGGATGTTGTTCGGGGTCGATGTCGACGATTTTGGAGGCCGAGGGAGTGGCGAAGCAGGAGCAAGAAGGGATCATGTATTTGAGGAAGAGATTCATGTTGTTGAAGGGATTTAGAGAGGAGAGGCAGAGATGGGAACGATTGAGGGAGGGTGTGCTTGTGTTATGTATTAGTATGCCGTAGTGAGAGTTGGGTGATTTATTAGAGAATTTGAGAGATACCGTGCGCGCCTGAGTACGTAGTTTGTCGGAATTGGGAAGTTTCCGCTCAATAGGCGTGACATTTTTGTATACTATTTTTTTTTAATTAATGGTTTCTATGAAATGCTGGGGCCTTGGGGGTCAGTTAGGTCTGGATGGGTGTGCATTGGTCAAAATATGTAACTTGGGGGTATCCAATTTGAAAAACGTGTAAACTGTTTAGGGTGTCAACGTGCTAGACAAAAACTTTAGGGTATGAAAGTTGAAAAAGCATAAAACTTTTAGGGCACCAACGTGTAAATTACCTTTGTTCTAAGGTAAATTTCAGAACCCCTCAAGATTGGCCAGGTTTGAGATAACGCCTCTTGACTTTACAAATATCGCAAAGACATTTTACGATTGACATATTTGAGATAAGCCCCCGTACTTTAAAATTTTCACTAAACCCCCTTAAATTTGGGGTGAAGTATCTAAAACCCCCTAAATTTTTTTAAAATTTTCAACTAACCCCTCATCGGTGTCAAATGAACTTAAAATTCTTATTTTTTTTCTCTTTTTCATTGTGAGTCAAAAATCATGTTATATAGTAATGCATTATTGAGTCAGCAATAAATTTCCGATGCAAAAAATTGATAATGGTTTATATTATTGCTCTATAATACTTAATTACACCTTACATTCCTTACATATTCTTTCCTAAACAAAAATCATTTACCTAAGGTGAACACATTTAGGATTGTCAAAAAATTAATTTTCTTATAGGAATTTCTATCATTTTAAATATACAAAGATGAATATGTTTAAAATTTTAATATCTCAATTCTCAAATTATGGAAACATGTTCTACAAATGTGTTCATTGTTAAATAACGAAGTTAGACTATCTTATTTTTATTTATTTAAGTCCTAAGTATATCCTTTAGGATAGTAGAACTTCTCCCTTGCTCTTGTATATAAACTCCTTAATGCAATTGACAATGTCAGTTATCTAACAAGTAGTTTGAGAATGGATTATGAGGGGGTTTGGGTCATCAACCTTCTTTAGATGGCTAATTCTTGAGCAGAAAGTCCGATCCTGCACATGAAGAATTTGTAAGAGGTTGGACTTGGGATCTCCAGTAGTTCCTCTGACGGTCAAGTCAGTTCAGAGCTTGAATGGAGAAGTAAGAATTAGAGTCAAGTGTTTGGTTTTTTAGAAAGAGAATTACTTACCCTAGGCAACAGACATCGGTTTCCTTTTGTAGCAGATTAGAAAGGTAGATAGCTAACTTCGGCCAAGTCAAGCTAGCGGCTTAGTCGTCATATGCTTTACAAGTGTCGGCTGTAAAGGGTGAGTCACCTAGGCATTTAATGTGAGGGCGACAGAATGTACGCAGTGCTAACGAGGTTCGATGAGTCATAAAGACTTTTGGGGTTAGAGAAATGATGACTCTGGTCATACATTTAAGGTGATGGCAATTGATTGTCAGTAGGGTCTCGAGGACACACCGCCTTTCTTCTCCTCTTATCGGAGTTCGATAAACACGTCTTTTTAATAGGCCTTGCGAGTTGTCAGCCTGAAAGGGACCGAGTACCGAGAGGGAGTTGGGTCAACTAGAATGGTGGGCCGAGTGAAGATGTCTCTCGTCTAGATCTAGTAGGTAGGTCGATAAATACCTTCGTTTTAGTTAGCCTTGTAAGTTGTCGGCTTGGTTGAAGTCGCTCGAGTCATCCCTCTTCGAATATGGCTAATTAGGAAAAGGTGGAACATGTGTTGGAATCCCATTGGGGACTAACACTTATCCATTGTCATGATATAACAACAATGAATAAGATGGTCAAGTTCTCTCAAATATCTCTATACGCAACATAGTATCAAAGCTACCATCTTGATCCTTTAGAAAGCACCAAGGCGCGCAAACTTCATCTACGTCCTTCCTCGACAGCTTCATCAACAACTCTGACCACCTCTGCTTAGGACATCTGACCTAACATGAGGCCAATCGCCAACCTACAACCCCTAACACCCAGCAGCCTCATAAATTTTGACTACAAATATGGTCACCTCAGTAACGCCACGAAATGCCAAAGCTTCCGAAACCCTCTCTGCCCGAGTGATACGGGTGTATCTTCTCTTCAGGAGCTTAGCAATCCTCATGGGAGCTTGAGGATAGAAGATTCTCATATCTTGGGAATAGGAGCATGGATGGAGCCAAAGAAGATGGTGAAAGAAGTCAACAGGAGCGAAACGCAAAAGAACAGGGTAAACTGGCAGATCTCTGGCCGGTCGACCGCAGCACACATGCCGGTCGACCGGAAAACCTGCACGGTGCAGGGTTTGAGAAAACTCTCCGGCCGGTCGACCGGACCAAGCCGGGCGGTCGACCGGATCGCGATTTCTGGGTTTCCTGTTTCGTTTTGGATTCTGTTTTGACAGGGATTCCTGATTCTTTTGGGTTTGTTTATTTACAAGTTTGCCATCCACGTTTGTACATCTATAAATAGGATTGTTTTAGGGTTCTAAACAATCAGATCTCAGAGAGAAGTGATCAAGATAAATTCTAATAATTGTATTAGGGTTTAGAGAGAGAGAGTTGAGAGGTTGTTCTCGATTCTAGTGAGATTGTGAGGGAGAGATTGTAATCTTTTGTTCTTCATAATCTAGAGAAGGTATTTTCCTTCGCCTTTATACTGAATTGTTCTTGTGTTTGGTCATCCTCTTCTCAACCCACCTTTTGGTAATTCCGCGACCAAAGGGTGCTCGCACGGCGACTCGTATCAAGTTGGTATCAGAGCATCAGATCCGGTGAAGGGGCATCCTGTGTATGGTCCTTACTCGTTCCTCATACAAGAAGCTTGGCGAGATCCTTATTTCATTGGAAGGAGTCCAGGATTTAAGGAAGGAGAAGATGGCTGAAGGAGATAATTCAGCGAGGATTGATGCATTAGAGAAGCAGATCGAGACGATAGGGTCGACGCTCACAAAACTCGTCGGTCTCATCCAAGGAGGGAACGAAAAGGGGGAATCTTCTTCTAGGTCTAAGAAGAAACCTATAGAGTCCGGTGGAGAGAGCGAGCTTTCAGGCTCCGACGAGGAGGACGAGACCGTCAAGGCTGCACCGCATCAAGGGGGTAAGAATTCTTACCAGAATCTGAAGATTGATTTCAGAGTGGAGATTCCTATTTATGATGGGAGTGTTGACGTCGAGAGGCTTGATGACTGGATCGAGCGGATGGAGACGTATTTTACTCTTTATGGCTATTCGTCAAAAGAGAAGATTGTGTTCGCGACTTTGAAGCTTTCAGGACACGCGTTGACGTGGTGGAAATCCTATTACAAGCAGGAGAAGAAGGCGGTGTCGTGGAACAAGTTCAAGGAGCTACTTAGGAAACAGTTCTATCCGGTGGGATTCCTTGAGGAGCGTTGGTACAAGTGGTATGGCTTGCGCCAAAGGGTCAATCAAACCGTCCAAGAATACACTACGGAGTTCCAGCAGCAGGCGATGATCCTTAACATTGCGACAGAGGAATATTCCGTGTTTATGAAGTATATGGCGGGATTGAGCGATTACATCCGAAAGGAGATGAGGTTATTCACGGTCGAGACTATTGCAGATGCGAGCGTGAAGGCCATTGCCATTGAGGGCAAGCAAAAGAAGAGCAACGAAGCAAAGGGGGATGCAAAGCAAGTTGGAGGCGAGTCTAGTGGTTCTCAGTTTAAGGAGGAGAAGAAGAAGGGTGATCCAGGGAAAACAGGGCTGATTTGTAGTCACTGCGAGAAGACAGGACACGAAGCTGATCGGTGCTGGGAGAAGTATCCTCATCTCAAACCAAGAGGGTTGAAGAAGAAGGAGGAGAAAAAGGCATACATGATAGCTCAAGGTCCGAAAGAAGTCCCGGGGATGACAGAGCCTAATAGCAGTCTCAATCTTATGACGGGGAAACAGGCCACAAAAGAGGACGACGACCCGAGAGAGCAGCTCTTTGTTCTTAAGTTGCAAGTGAAGACCAGTTTGGTTGATGCCATAATTGATCCGGGTAGCGAGAAGAATTTGATATCCGAAGCCTTGGTTCAGAAGCTGGGTCTGAAAACGGTCAAGCATCCAAAGCCCTATCCATTGGGGTGGATTCAGAAGGAGGAGAAGCTATGTGTAGTTGATCAATGCACTATAAGATTTGCGCTCCATGAGTCGTATATTGACGAGGTCACATGCGACGTAGTTCCATTGGATGTTTGTCAGATTATACTGGGCAATCCGTACTTATGGGATAGATATGCGATCTACGAGAGGCGGGCTCAGAAGTATACATTCACCAAGGGTGGTGAAAAGTTCATATTTCGTTCGGCATCTCTTCCGAGGGAGACAAGCTTGGGAACGGTGACGCGAGCGAAGAGGTTAGTGAATGCAAGCAAGAAGTTTGTCTCGCTGTGCATTAGACTTCCAGAAAAGCCATCGATTAAGGATTGCAACTTGGAGCGAGAAGTGACTACGACAAGACGCGGGATGAATGAGTTATTTCCGATCGGACGTCGAGATCAGATTCCTAGCAAGGCCAGGTGGTTCAGAAAAGGAGGAGGGGCTCGCGAGTTCCCTCAGTTTCAGTTCTAACTTGAACGGGACTTTAAGTTTCTAAAGGGGGGACCCATGATACGGGTGTATCTTCTCTTCAGGAGCTTAGCGATCTTCATGGGAGCTTGAGGATAGAAGATTCTCATATCTTGGGAATAGGAGCATGGATGGAGCCAAAGAAGATGGTGAAAGAAGTCAACAGGAGCGAAACGCAAAAGAACAGGGTAAACTGGCAGATCTCTGGCCGGTCGACCGCAGCACACATGCCGGTCGACCGGAAAACCTGCACGGTGCAGGGTTTGAGAAAACTCTCTGGCCGGTCGACCGGACCAAGCCTGGCGGTCGACCGGATCGCGATTTCTGGGTTTCCTGTTTCGTTTTGGATTCTGTTTTGACAGG